TCGAGTCACCCTAGGTAACATCTGGCTATTACACAAATGAAGTTTTGAAAATATGCATTCGCGATAAATTATTTATAAATAATGAAATTGTTTTAAAATATAATGCACAAAAGTAACTAATTTGGTCGAATCATAGGCTGTGACATGCTTTGAGACATTGCGACCTTCTTAACTCGAAATTTTGAGGACCCCCTCAAAATTCTACCTCTGTTTAATTCATATTTCCGGGCATGCTCTTTTTGCGATCCTTGACCCAGTGAGATTGACTAAAACCCAAAATCTTGCCCCGGTTTCTAACCATAGAGGTGAATGAAGATTTTATTATAATGTGACTGAACCCACAGGGCTGCCTACGTATCCCCTCTTAAACGAGAATCAGGTCAAGCGTAGTTCATGTTACATCATAGAAAGTGCAAATACATTGTCAAATATAGTATCTCTTGATGTCATCTGAATTGATTTCGGCCATATCTCCCTGTCCATCTCTGCAAGTATGAGTGCTACTCCTGTCAATACTCGGTGAACCATGTTAGGACCTTGCCAATTAGGAGAGAATTTTCCTTTTGCTTCGTCCTGATATGGGAAGATCTGTTTCAACACCAATTGCCCCAGTATGAATAGTCTTTATCTTGTTTTCAATTGCCTGTGGTGTTTTTTTATCACGTTAATTGATTCCAAGTGGTGACTTTAGGAACTTGTTTAGTTCTTGATCTTTCAAGAACATGTTTCTTGATCTAAATTAGTTCTTTTGATATCATAGAATCATAACTTTGATTGAACTAGTGCAACATCAATATTTACTTGTTTTGAACGAGTAAATAGTCTTTATTATAGTTCACATCGTCATCTTTCACCTCGTTTTTGAATCATCAGATTCCGAGTCCTAAAACTTGAGATACGTTGTTTCTTGAAATCGACCCACAAAACACGTTTTCGTTTCAAGATCTTGATCCTGGTCGGTTGGTTCTTTGTTAACTCGAAGAATCACATCATTTTGGTATCAAAGCTATAATCAATAGGTCCTAGGTTTACAAATTTATCATGGCCAAGATTAAACCAAGAGGAAGCTTCTCGGTTCAAGAAGATAAAGAAGTGTGGCAACACGAATCTCTTTTTTGCACTAGATGTACCTCCCATGGAAAAGTTTGCTCGTTGATCATTGATCGTGGGAGTCACATAAATATCATTTCTGAAGAGATGGTTACTAAACTTGATTTGTCAACCAAGCTTCATCCATATCCTTAGAGCATCGAAGTTAAAGATGATGATGGTTTAGAGGTAACTCGTCAATGCCTAGTATCTTTTTCTATTGGTAAGATCTATAAAGACAAGATTTGGTGTGACATAGTGAAAATGGATGCTTATCACTTATTACTTGGAAGACCATGGGTGTATGACAAGTGCGCTAAATATGATGAAAACCTTAATACCTATTCTTTTACAAAGGATGGACGTAATATTATTTTAATACCACTGAATCCAGAAGAAATTGCTAAAAGTTTGAAACCCAAGAATGATTCTTTTGTGACCAAATTACAAACAATTGGTCCAATAAATAGAGAAAAGTCTTTGAATATTGGTATTACTATGGAAGAGCACAAGGAGGAGGAGCATGCATTATATCCACAACTTGAGGATTTACCTCTGAAGTTTGATGATGATCCATTGGAGCATCCCATATGTGAGCTTAACTTTCGAACTAATATAGATGCTCAATATAATATCGATTTTATTGTTGATTATATCCTTCCAAACGAGGCAACATATTGCACTAATCCAAAAATCCATGAAATTTTGCAAACACAAGAGGAAGGGTTTCTTAAAAAGGAGTCCATAATGGAGGGTTTGAGTTCATACTTTGTTCCAGCTTTTTTCTTGCCTCCATAGGATGAATATCTTCAAGAACATATAGGAACAGGAGATCTCAACACATATCCCATCAATGGTTATGATCTAGTTAAATATGAGATCGTTGTTGCTGATGAATTCTCAAGAAGATATGCTTCGATCTCCAAGCTTGATCCAAAGGTACTTGAATTTGATTCTTTTAAATGTTTTTGTGCAACTACATCGACGTTTTTGGGAATATCCCATAAGCACCACATTGACACAGAGAAGTTCAAGATTCCTGAAGATCAAAAGAAAACAACTTATGGTTATGGATTAGTGTTTAATAATAAATTTAAGAGGACTCATTGCAGAAATATTGGAAAAACATTACTATTGAGAAAGTGAGATTTAGTTCAACCACATGCTAATCTTTGTTATAAGAAGATGAAGCTATTTGAAAAGTTAGAAAAATACAACTTAAAGCCTGGTGATTATAGATTGTATCAAATCATGAAAGTTGCTAATCTTATGCCATTTGTGGAGCCTTTAGACTTGAGGACGAGTCTTTCTCAACCAGGGAGAATGATGAAAATGAAGAATCTATGTTAACTTTTATTAATTTTGGCCAAGATCATGTTTTAGAGCTCAAGTCCAAACATATGGACTTATTTTATTACCATTAGGTACTTCATTTATAATTCCCAAAATACATTACATATTCATAGTTTGAAGTGGAACATGTAATACAAATATAACGTTTCTAGTGTGACTCCCCCAACATTAATATACAACCCACACTATGTCTACGGAGCTTCTAACAAATACAAAAGAGTACTATGATAGTACCAGCAACAAGGTACCGGCTATACCTCAAAACATTATACATAAAGAATAAAAGATACAAGACCCCGATAGGAAGTGGGGCTCACCAAGTGAGCTGAGGAGAGGGTGTACTACTATTACTGATCAATGCCGCCTGCTGTGGAACTAGCTGCATTAAAGATGCAGCGCCTCCGGCAAAAGAGACGTTAGTACATATGGAATAGTACTAGTATGTAAGACTAAACACCCTCTCAATAAAACAAGCAACAGTAAAATGAGAAGGAAACATGGAATCAATGAGGGCCTCAAACGACATTAAAGTGTCATGTTAAAAGAAAGATAAATTTCAAGTAAATTCCAATATTTCTAAGTTGGGAGATCTTTAGCATCGATATACTACCGTGTTGTTAGCACGTAATCTGATCTCGGCCTTATCAACTAAGCCATCTCACTCCGAGACATCCAATCACAACACCACCATGTGCGTGACATAGCATCCGATATCAACCCGATCGGCTAAGCCGTCTCACCACAATGCCGTGTTGATCGACATCACTTTCCGCTAGCCATCATCTCATCCCAATTAAGGGGAACAACATCAGCACATCAATCTCATCCCATTTAAGGGGAATGACCTCAACACATCAATACGGGGATTTACCCCTCAATCACTCCTACACCGGGATGTGTAGTTTCGGGGTTAGGGTATTCCAACCTACCCTTCCTCGGTGACTAAACGATGCTCCCAAAATATTTGTTATGAAAAGGAGTTACAGTTCATTTCAGAATCTTTCACTTTCATACTTCATCATGGATTATCAACAACACGATATTTCTAATCAAGACTTTAAGTACACATGTGAGCAATAAGAGTCTTAAGCACATTGAATTTTATTTCACGATTTAGCATAATAAGTTGCAATTAAAACATGATTGAAATCATAATATTCCGACATATTGATCAAGTTTGAATACATTTCCGAAAGAGAACACAATATGATAGGAGCATTTGGAACACATTTTTAGCATATATCTTTCAACACAAGCTTATTCAGAATAGTCAAATTTTCAAGGGATAACTCAGAAACATGAGAACTAAAAGCTCGGTCCGTCATACTTGAAGCATACGAGAACATTGCAGGATTCGATTCTAAGGGAGAAGTTTAGCCATCATACCTCGTTTGAGCTTTCCTTAATTTACTACAACGTTCCGAAACTCTTAGCTACTTCTATCTAATTAAAGACATGACAAAATTGAACCATAAGTAGGGAGAGGTTTATGGGTTTAGCCCATCTAGGCATTTAATCGAGCACTAGGTGTGTAATTTGATCAGAAGGATCTTTTACAGGATCTCGCTCACCCCACAACTCATCCAACACCAAGAGTTTACCCTTACTAGCTCAATGACCTCCCCACCATCTTTATTTGCACATGCATGCATCATTAACCAATCCTTATTCTCTAGAACCATTCCCCCATTACCTATCCCCAACCCAAATTTTGAAATTGAAGGCTAGGGCTAGAACCTTACCTCTTTAGTAGAAAAGTTTCAAGCTTTTCTTGTGAATTCTCCAAGGCTTGAGCAAGGTATTGAAGTGGAAGGTGTTGGAGCTCCTCTTTCTCTCTCTAGTTCATCCCCTCTCTCTTAAAATATCAGAATTTTCCTTCAAAAATGGTCCCTTAAGTCTATTTATTAAAACAGGGTCGGGTTATAAAAATAGAAAAATGGACCCACCTAAATTGGGCTACTCGGGTCAGGTCTGCGGCAAGTCTGCAGTCCGCAGACCAGTTATGCAGTCACATAATGCACTGCAAAAGTCCTCTCCGGAATTCTTCATGCTGAATCTACGACGAATTATGCGGCCGGCAAAATGGTTATGCGGTCGCATACTGGAACGCAAAATGTCCTTCAAAATTTGGCTCTAGTTCTGTTGCATTATGCGGCTGATCTACGGTCCGCGAAGTGACTCTGCGGTCGCATAGTGGACCGGAGATGTGACATGTTCTACAACATTATTCTTCCAATTCCCCGATACACTGTACAACCCAAAAAGTCTGTACCACGGTGAGCTTGCTCGCCGCAAAGAATTTCTACAGTCCTCAAACAATTAGCCTACCTCGGCACTACGAAACCCCGGGTTCTAGGTAAAATTTATGGTGCTTTACGTCCTCCCCCGCTTAGGATCATTCGTCCTCGAATGTGGGTCAAAATCTGCTATTAGCACCCAATGTGAGTCAACTATTACTTAACACACCAGCAGTTTTAAATTTTGACTAACTTCCTAAATTTCCAAAAATTTTGCCAGAGTCTCCCCTGCAAATGGGCCTATCCACATGTCAGAGAATCCCAGAACCAATTTTAACAACATAAACATAACACAATGATGTAACACAACATGGAAACAACACCGACCGCAACACCATAAACATTACATTACCAAAAAGGAGTATCCTTAACATAAGCTGTACAAGGGAAACATAATTTGTAGAAGGTTAGCTTTCAACATTTTCATAGACACAACTACATAGCTATTCAAACAAATGAGGATACTTCTTCTTCATCTCTTCCTCGGCTTCTCGGGTGGTCTCTTCGACCTGTTGGTTTAGCCATAACACTTTCACGGAGGCAATCTCTTTGTTTCTTAGCTTTTGGACTTGCCTATCACGAATGGCAATTGGAATCTCTTCATAAGTCAATTCCTCATTAACCTCAATAGTCTCAACTAGAACAATAAGCAACGGGTCTCCAACCACCTTCTTCAATATGGATACATGAAACACCGGGTGTACTAAAGACATCTTTGGAGGTAGTTCAAGCCGGTAAGCTACCTGACCAATCCTCTGAATAATTCTGTATGGTCCGACATACCCCAAACTCAATTTCCCTTTCTTCCCAAACAGCATTATACCCTTCATGGGGGAAACCTTCAAGAATACCCAATCATCCTCTTTGAACTCCAAATCCCTGCGAGGCACATCCGAATAGGACTTCTGGCGACTCTGAGCAGTTTTTAACCGTTCTTTAATGATCTTAACCTTCTCCATAGCCTAATGCATGAGGTCTCATCCTATCAAATCTTCTTCCCCATTCTCGAACCACCCAATGAGAGATCTACATATCCTACCATATAGAGCCTCGAACGGTGCCATCTGAATGCTAGCATGGTAACTGTTGTTGTAGGCAAATTCTATAAGTGATAAATGATCATCCCAGCTACCCCTAAAGTCAAGAACACAAGTGCGCAACATATCCTTAAGCGTCTGAATAGTCCGTTCTGCCTGCCCGTCTATCTGCGGATGAAAGGCTGAACTAAGATTCACCTGAGTACCCAAACCTTGCTGAAATTTCTTCCAAAATTAGCTGTGAACTGTGCCTCTCGATCGGAGATAATAGAAACTGGCGTTCCATGCAACCTAACTATTTCCTTGATGTACAACTGAGCATATTGTTCTGCGGTGTCAGTAGCCTTAACAAGTAGGAAGTGTGCCGATTTTGTGAGTCGGTCCACAATTAGCCAAATCGTGTCAAACTTGCGAGGCGTGCGAGGTAGTCCCATTACAAAGTCCATATTGATCATCTCCAATTTCCACATTAGAATTTCTATGTTCTGTGCCAACCCACCGGGCCTTTGATATTCGGCCTTTACTTGTTGACAATTTGGACATCTTTCCACAAAGTCTACTGCATTCCTCTTCATATTATTCCACCAGTAGACTTCCTTAAGATCATGGTACATCTTTGTAGAGCCTGGGTGCATGGAATACCTGGAATGGTGAGCCTCGTTCATGATTCTTTCCCGGAGAGCATCTACATTTGGAACACATAATCTCCCTTGGTACCTTAGTGTACCATCATCCATGCCAAGAGAAAAAGCCATAGTCTTTTGCTTATGAATTCCTTCTTTCAATTGTACCAACAATGGATCGTCATGTTACTTCTTTTGACTTCCACAACAAGTGATGATGCAACCCTATTTTGCACAACCACCCCTCCTTCAATAGAGTCCGCAAGACGAACTCCCAAACTAGCCAATCGGTGAACTTCCTTGGCCAACGGCCTTTGATGTGACTCCAAATGAGCCAAACTACCCATGGATTTTCGGCTAAGAGCATCCGTCACAACATTAGCCTTTACCGGATGATATAAGATATCGATGTCATAGTCCTTAAGTAACTCAAGCCATCTTCACTACTTTAGATTTATTTCCTTCCGCTTGAAAATATATTGAAGGCT